ATGGCGAGCTCCTTGAGTGTGGGCCTGCTGTGACCAGGCCCAGCAGCAGCAGCAGCAGCAGCAGCAGCAGCAGTAGCATCAGCACCCGCAGCACCAGCAGCAGCAGCAGCAGCAGCAGCAGGCGGGAGGTCAAGAGCAAGCAGCAGAGAAAGAAGAGGAGAAAGAAACGAATGCTGCGTCTTCAGGTGGAGACAATGAGCAGCAAAAGGAGACAGATGCATATCACCAGCAGCCCCTTCGAATCCGCAAAGCCTAACAGACACAGCAGCAGCAACAGCAGCAGCAGCAACAGCAGCAGCAGCAACAGCAACAGCAGCAGATACAGGTCCGGGGACAGCAGCAAAGGTATACGCTGCAGGAGCGAACTCAGCAGCAGCAGCAGCAGCAGCAGCAACAAGACAAAGGCAGCGACGGCTCCTGAGCAGTCAAGGCCAACAGCAACCGCTCTACAGCAGCAGCAGCAGATGTAGGTGCTGCAGCAGCTGCAGCAGCAGCAGCAGCAGCAAAGGAGAAGACAACAATACACAGATCCTCACCTGCACTTAAGTACCCTCTGTCCCGCAGCAGCAAAAGGAGACAGTTGGAGACAGCCGAGGGCCTCGCCCAGCTCAAGGGGCAGCTCCGCATGAGCAGCAGCAGCAACAGCAGCCTGCACCTCTGTTTGCTGCTGCTGCTGTTGCTGCTGCTGCTGCTGTTGCTGCTGCTGCCGTGGTGCAGCAGCCCCGCACGGGGAACAGCCCCGCTGCTGCAGCGAGAAGGACCAGGAGAGGAGGATCACAGATGCTGTCCCTGCAGCAGCAGCAGCAGCAGCAGTTTGCTGCTGCTGCTGCTGGTTATTGTTGTTATTGCTGTTGGCAGCAGCAGCAGCAGCAGCAGAAAGAGATGCTGCAGCAACTGCAGCAGCGGCAAGTGCCTCTGCAGCAAGTACAGACCCTCCTGTCTCTCTTGCTGCTGCTTTATCTCCTCCCCTGTGGGTCATCGCGCGCCTGCTGCCAACATCCCTATCAGCTGCTGCTGCTGCTGCTGCTGCAGTCGCTGCTGCTGCTGCTGCTGTGGTAGCAGCGAGACGGGGGGCCCCCGGGGGCCCCCCTGTCCCCTCTGTGCTCTGCTTGAGGGGACGGTGCTGAGAGCTTGGTGCGAAGGGGAGCTGTAAGAAATAGACATAAGCAGCAAACAACAGTCTCCTCGGGCACACCAGCTGCTGCTGCTGCTGCTGCTGCTGTTGCTGCTGCTGCTGCTGCTGCTGCTGCTGGGTCTTGCGGGGCTGTTGGGGGGCCCCCACCCGCGGGTCCCTGCTGAGGAGACGCAGAGGGAAGTAGCGGCAGCAGCTGTGGGGGCCCCCCACCTTATAAGCCTTAACACACACCGCCTGTCTCCTTGCCTCCCAGTGTATGGTTGCTGAGGCAAAGGGGGGCCCCTCTAGCATGCTGTCTCTCTGTTGGGGGCCCCCCCCACGCTGCTGTCTTGCTGCTGCTGCTGCTGCTGCTGCTCGCAGCAGCGCAGGCATTGACTCGGGATGACGCTTCCATATAGGCAGAGACTGCAGCAGTGCAGCAGCAGCAGCAAACTGCTGCTTACCGCCCTTGCTACTGTCTTGCTGCTCATCCTCCTCT